ACCTCTCCCTCATCCCGCATCACAAACTCGTCAACCTCGCCTCGGTTCAAAGGCCGAGATTGATATTGGAGACTCTACGACGACATTTACCTAACAGGTACTCCCTTTCAATCACCTCGCACTGAATCCACTGAGCAAGGCTCCAACGACACGATGGAAGACGACCTCATTTGCCTGTCGCCCACACGACAAACCAATCCAATGCCGAAGAAAGACTCGCTCAAACGTCCGCACGACCTCATTGAAACCGAGCTCAAGGACAAAACACCTCCAAGCTGCGACGAAACCATGCCATCCCCGACAAACGAAGCCAAAGCCGTTGATCATCCCGAAAACGAGCCCGAGTACGTTGAATCCGACGACGAAGACGACGCCTACCGCCTGACAGTCAATCCAGAGCGACCGCGGATGATAACCGAAAAGAAGCGTCTCGACACTGCCGCCTTCCAATCATGGATCACCAAGAATCAGCGCGAAGTCACAAAGAACTCAGCAAAAGCTGCCCAGGACCTCGTACACCAGTCGGTGGCCTATTTGGTCAAGGAGAGCGAGGACAAGAAGATCATTGGGACTCCCCGAGAATACCAGACCGAGTTGTTTGAGCGGGCCAAGACGAAGAACACTATTGTGGTGCTGGACACTGGTATGTCTCTGCTTCCAGATTGCTGCCTTTCTAACATTTCTAGGTTCTGGCAAGACACTCATCGCGGCTCTTCTTCTGAGGCACACTCTGGACCAAGAGCTGGAAGATCGTGCCGTTGGAAAACACAAGAAAGCCTCTTTCTTCCTGGTTGACAAGGTGGCACTTTGCTTCCAGCAGTTTGCCGTCCTCAACTGCAACCTAGAGCACCCGATGACCAAGTTCTTCGGCGACATGACGGGACTGATGAAGACCAAAGAGTTCTGGGATAAGCAGTTTGACGAAAACATGGTTGTCGTATGCACTGCGCAGATCCTTCTCGACTGTCTCTCCAACGGCTTCATCAGGATGAACCAGATCAACTTGCTCATCTTCGACGAAGCTCACCATGCCAAAAAGAACCATCCGTACGCTCGAATCATCAAGAACCACTACATCCGCGAAGGTCAAGATCGACCCCGAGTCTTGGGCATGACAGCATCGCCCGTGGACTGTCAGACGAAAGATGTCAAAGTGGCAGCTGCTGAACTGGAGAGTATGCTGTGCAGCGAGATTGCAACGCTGTCCGACGAAGTCATGGCCAATTCCTACGCCCATAGACAGAAAGTCGTGGAAACTAAAGAGACGTACGCTCGACTGGAGTGCCCTGGAGACTCCGTCACCGAGCTGTGGAACCGCATTTCTGAACAGATAGCCCACAATGCCCAATTCTGGTCACCGCTTGAGTTCACCAAGGAAGCATCTTCCTCTCTCGGACGTTGGTGTGCCGACCGGTATTGGAAACTTCTCATTACCGACACTGAAGCGGCTCGTCTCGCAGCCAGGACGGGCAGAGATTTTGCAAACCACTTTGCATCAACACAAGCTGAGAGAGCTGCGGAGGCGATTCAGACTGTTCAGAAGGTGATTGACGACTATGAGTTGGAATCAATTGAACCGAGATCAAATAACCTATCACCCAAGGTCAAACGACTATTTGAAATCCTACGAGAAGCATTCGTCGACCTCGGGACAAGGCGTTGCATCGTTTTTGTTGAAAAGAGATATACAGCTTGCCTCCTCGCGGACTTGTTTTCGCAACCGGACATGCGAATCGTCGGTATGAACTGTTCTTTCATGGTAAGTTCTGGACAAGTTGGTGTAGTATCCATGCTAATATGTACAGGTCGGCTGCCAGTCCACCACGTCGAACCTCGGCAACATGTCCTTCCGCGACCAAGTCTTGACCCTCCAGCGATTCAAACGAGGTGAAACCAACTGCTTATTCGCTACGCCTGTCGCTGAAGAGGGCATCGACGTTCCAGAATGCGATCTCGTCATCCGATTCGATCTCTACAACTCAGTAATTCAATACCTCCAGTCAAAAGGGCGAGCGCGACAGGACAACTCGAGGTACATCAGTATGGTTGAAGACGGAAACATGAGGCAACTACGCAGCCTCTTCCAAGCAACTCGAGACGCGGCTACTCTTCGACGCTTTTGTTCCGCTCTTCCCGCCGACCGAAAGCTACAGGACCAGACCATTGATGCCGCTGCAGCTGCACAGTATGAGCAGGGTGGTCAAAAGGTGTATGAAGTGCCGTCCACAGGAGCACGCCTTACCTACCCCCATAGCCTTGAGGTCCTGGCTAGGTTCGTGTCTTATATCTCTCCTGTAGACATTAGTCTGAAGCCGGAGTTTATCGTCACTACCTTTGGGTCGAAGTTCATCGCCGACGTCATCCTTCCCGACTCTTCGCCCATCAAGTCCATGCCTGGCTTTCCACAGCGGAGCAAGATGCTAGCCAGATGTTCCGCAGCATTCGAGATGTGTGTGGCGTTGATCAAGAAGACATACATCAACGAGCACTTCCAGCCTGTCTTTACAAAGAAGCTGCCCGCCATGCGAAACGCCCGGTTGGCTGTCAGCGCCAACAAGAAAGCCGACTACAAGATGCTTCTCAAACCAAATATCTGGTCTGAAGTGGGCACAAACATTTCACAGCTCTTTGTGACGGTAATTGCCCTGGACACCCCGGGTGCCTTAGGTCGTCGCAGTCGGCCACTGCTTTTGCTTTCACGGCGAAAGATGCCCCAACTACCAGGCGTTCCACTATTCTTTGGCAATGGACACTCATCTCTAGCGCAACTAGTCATGTATGAAGAGCCTATTGCGTTGACCAAAGAGGATGTCGAGGGACTTGCCAAGTTTACGCTGAAGGTATTTGACGACGTCTTCAGCAAAGAGTACGACGCAGAATCTGATGAGATTCCTTACTTCTTAGCCCCTTGCGTTGAAGAACACGAACAAGTTCTGAGGACAGGCCAAGCTCAGATCAACTGGGCAGCAGTGAAGACGGTCAAAGAAAATGAGAATCTCGACTGGGAGAATGCGCCTGAAGAGTTCTTCCACGACAAGTTGGTCACCGATCCACACTCCGGCTCCCGAAAGATGGTCATCCACGGCATCAACAAATCGCTACGGCCATCCGACCCGACTCCAGAGAATGTGCCCGAGCAAAAATCTCGAGCCTATCGATTCGTCGAGCCCACCATCAAAGAGTACAGCAACAGTCTCTGGCTCAAATCTCGCCAGAGGGTACAGTGGCGAGAAGACCAGCCCGTTGTGAATGCTGAGTTGCTGTCGCTTCGTCGCAACTTGTTGGACGAGTTCCAGGTCGATGAGGATATTGACAATAATTGCTTCGTCATCTTGGAGCCTCTTCACGTGTCGCCGGTAAGTGAGAGCATACTTGTATCTAGGGCATACTGACAAATTAGTTGCCGATCGATGTCGTCTTCATGGCCATGACGTTCCCCGCCATAATCCATCGCATAGACTCGGTTCTCATCAGCCTCGACGCCTGCTCCCTGCTGGACCTGACCATTAGTCCCAGCCTTGCCCTCGAGGCTCTCACAAAAGACAGCGACAACACCGGCGACCACGACGAGGAGCAGCTAAATTTCCAAGCCGGCATGGGAAACAACTACGAGCGCCTTGAATTCCTCGGCGACTCATTCCTCAAAATGGCCACCACAATCTCCCTCTTCACTCTCATCCCCGACAGCAACGAATTCGAGTACCACGTCGAGCGTATGCTTCTGGTGTGCAACCAGAACCTCTTCAACCACGCCGTCGACCGCAAGCTCCAAGAGTTTGTCCGCTCCAAGTCGCTTGACCGAAGGACGTGGTATCCAGACCTGAAATTAAAGAAGGGCAAGGCGCCAAAGACGGAGCTGCGACACAACTTGGCCGACAAGTCCATCGCTGACGTATGCGAGGCCCTCATCGGCGCTGCGTATGTCACTACAGACAACGGCAACTTTGATATGGCTGTCAAGGCGGTTACGCAGATGGTGAGGAGCAAGAACCACAAGATGCAGTGCTTTGGCGACTACTACAATGAATTCGCAGTCCCGCCATGGCAGTCAGGTGCTAGCACCGCTGCTCAACGTTTTGTCGTCCAGCAAGTCACTAACAACACTGGCTACACATTTGCGTCTGCAGCACTACTCCGGAGCGCCTTTAAGCATCCGTCGTATCCATACGAGCCCATCCCCAACTACCAGCGCCTCGAGTTTCTGGGTGACGCCCTACTGGACATGGCCATTGTCGACTACCTCTTCAAACGCTATCCCGCGGCAGACCCGCAGTGGCTGACGGAACACAGGATGGCCATGGCCTCGAACCAGTTCTTGGGCTGCGTCTGCGTTAAGCTCAAGCTCCAAAAGCACTTGCTTATCACTACTTCCGCCCTCATCAGCCAGATCAGCGAGTACGTTGCCGAACTCGAGCAGGCCGAAGAAGACGCCCAGAACGAAGCCAAAAATGAGGGCACCGCCGTGCGCTGCAACTTCTGGCTCAGCGCTTCGCAGCCGCCCAAGGCCCTTCCGGACATTGTCGAGGCCCTCGTCGGCGCCATGTTTGTCGACTCGCAGTACAACTACGCCGTCGTCGTCGACTTTTTTGCGCGCTTCGTCCAGCCGTACTTTGAGGACATGGCACTGTACGATACCTTTGCCAAGAAGCACCCCGTTACGTTTCTGGCTCGCAAGATGCAGTCGGAGCTGTTCTGCACGCAGTGGCGCATCTGTACGTCCAACGTCCCCTGCGCAATCGACGAGGGCGTGAGCGCTATGACAGAAAGCGACGTTATCTGCGCGCTCATGATCCACGGCGAGGTCTTTGCCCATGCAACGGCCAAGAGCGGCCGGTACGCCAAAATTGCCGTCGCGAAGCGGGCTCTCGAGAAGATTAAGGGACTGGGCGACGAGGCCAAGGCAACTATTGGGTGCGACTGTGCAGCCCCTGCTGAGACCGGCGAAGACACCTCAATCCAGCAATATGGGACAGCAATCTGACCACCCTGCCCGTCAAAGAGCCCGCTTGGCCGAGTGGTAAGGCGTTTCACTCGTAATGAAAAGATCGACGGTTCGATTCCGTCAGTGGGCAATGGAGAAGCTGAGAGCCTCGTGAGATGGCTTCCTTTTTGCAGTTTGTTTTGTCCTTTGCTTTCTCGTCACTGGGTTGCGTTGGTTGTGTGTCGGGTAGGGCTCATTGGAGGCAGCAATTGACGCCGCCATCATATTACCACGGCCAAGAGTGTGGCGAGTGCATTTTTAGTATCATCCCACTACTGACGTTGGCCCTTTGCTTTTCTTAACTTTGAGTTGCATTTACAGAGTGGAGGGGTGTTAGGGGAATGGTTGTTGACCCGAAGCCATCGCCTCAAATTCGATGGGGCAAAGCGACAAACATTAGCAAGTCGAATGGCGAGTCGATCCACCCGATAGGAGCGACAATTGAGAATAATAGTACAGAGAATTCAGATCAGTTCATAGATTTGATCAAGACATTCAGAATGGTAATATCCTTGGACCAGTCTCTGATACCGATTGTCCCTATAGGGTTTGGAAAGACCTAGGGAGCTTTTCCCACTGTTCGTCATGTAATGCAGCCTTCTTTCAGCTCACTCTCCACTAAGCTGACATGTTTCAGCTGTAAATTCGATCAGGCTGCGAGCCTGATATCTCGTGACGTGGCAATTGGGAAAATATGCAGCCAGTCCAGCCTGATTACCCCGCGACTCTTCAGCCAGCCTCACTCAAAGTTGCAACATCACGCAACCGATCCTCCAGACTCCTGAGCAAGTACGGCAATCATCAATCAGATGGCGCAGAACGAGAATGCGTCTGGGCTCGAGGGCTCCTCAACGAACCCACACAACAGCCCGGCAACTCAGACCGAGCGGAAGCAGAAGCAGAAGCGGAAGCAGAAGCGGAAGCAGAAGCCGAAAGTAAGCACTGATCCAGCTGCCGTCAAGCCGATATGCTATCGAATCCGGGGCATACCAATCAACACATCCAAAGACGAGGTGCAGAGCCATCTTGCGAAATCTTCTAAGAAGCCCGAAGCAGATTTGATATTGACTCTCGCGCTCTCTCATGGTAAATGGTTGACAGCAACCACCGGTTTACTTCCTGCGACTCCCGAGTTCCCCTCCTACGAAGTCGATTCCAACTTTTTTGGCATCACTCCGCTTTCCGGGAAGGAAGATGCGGTTGTAGAGTATGTTATAATGAACTCTCGATTTGTGGCTACAGCTAACTGGAGGCAGCATCATTGCTATCCCTGGTTTAGGAAGCCATGCTATCGGCGGCTTCAAAGCCAAAACAGGAAACAATGTCTGGCTTCGCGACTTCCTCCCGGACGATATCCCTACCGCTCGTGTTTTGACCTACGGATACGATACGACAGTCGCCGAGCAGAACTCGAAGTACTCCATCACCGACTTGGCCAAGGCCTTTCTCGACTCCTACAAAACATTTCGGGAAGTGACGCAGACGAGCCGAAGACCAATCATCTTTATTGGTCACAGCCTCGGAGGCCTTCTTGTCAAGGAGGTATACTAGTTGGCCTGTGCATTGTCTGTCACGGCAACTAATTGCGTCACAGGCCCTGTCAATGTCTCACCAAGGCAGCAAGGATTCTCAAAATGCGAACTTCTTCAAGGCGTCCTACGGTTTGGTGTTTTTCGGCGTTCCTAATCTGGGGCTACGAAACGAGCCACTGAGAGAAGTCGTGGCTGGCCAACTCAACTGGCAATTGATACACGACCTCCAAGTTGATGACGAAGCGGAGCCGACACCATACCTACGGGAGTTGGCAAAGAAGTTTATTGACTGTAGCGAGGCTCAAAAGCCGTCGTTCAAGATCACAGCATACTACGAACAAAGGAAGACTGTAACTGCAAAGGTTTCTAACGCCCCCTCTTGAGCACAATGAACTGTTTGTTAATATATCCCATAGAAAATGCCCGATGGAACGCTCTCAAGGGCGGGGGAACCTTGCTTCATGGTAACCCAACAGTCGGCCTCCCGGATTGGGATTGAAGACAGAGACGATGAACGGTATCCGCTGGACCTTGACCATTCTGAATTGGTCAAGTTTCGAAGTCAGTTCGACGATAACTACGGCCGGGTATTGAATCGATTGAAGATCATGGCAGAGGGAGCACCGAAGGCTGTCGGAAGGAGATTTGTCGACAATAGTATGTAGTATGACCCCAATCTATGAGCAGTTACTGACCCATTGCAAAGAACTATCAGAAGACGAGAGACGCCATTGGCACGACCTCAACGTGCCTGACTACGCATCATTCAGGAACAATGTTGACAAGTTGGCAAGACCAGCAGAAGGAACCCTTCAATGGCTTGTTTCTGATCAACCATCGGAAGAACCTGCAGGCACCGACAGCTTTCGAAAGGAAGATCTTGATTCATGGCGAGACTCAGACCGATCAGCCTCTCTGTTTGTTCTAGGTCCTCCTGGCCAGGGGAAGTCTGTCCTGTCAAATTTTGTCATCGACAACCTCATCAACTTCGTCAACATGACCAGGCCCGACTCCAAAGTCATCTACTACTTCTGCAACATCAAAAATGACCAGAGTTCGCGCAACGCCTCCAACATTCTTCGAGCGCTGATCGTCCAACTATGCGAGGATGCGCGATTGTTTCGACGACTTCCGAATCGGTTCCAGGATAAGTCGGAACGACGAGCACTTCACAACGCCGACTTTGATGAACTCTGGAGAACATTTGATGATCTAGTGAAATCAGATATACACACTAGCATCTATTGTGTAATCGATGGATTGGATGTGTACGAAACTGAGATGGAAGCGTTTTTACTTCGGCTAAAGGATTCGACGGCTCAAAAGACATACCCATTGAAGCTGTTCTGCACCAGCAGGCCGAAGCATTTCCCAGGCTTTTCACTGTCACAAACCAAGAATCTTCGTACGCCCAACAATGACTTGGAGTTATTTGTCGACGAAAAGTTACGAAACTTCCCAGATGAATTCAGCGACAGGGCGCTGGATATCAAAAAAGCTCTTGAGCAGTATATGGGCAGAACATTTCTCTGGATAAGCATTGTGTTACAGGAACTCCAGCGCCTACCATTCATTAGTGACGTGAAGGTCACCAGGGTGATCGAAGCCATGCCTACAGAGCTGAGTGAACTATACACAAAGCTCGTCCTGGACGCCTTCAATACAGACGAGCACAATGTTGCCATTTTGCTTTGGATAACGTATGCGAAGGAACCTCTTAGCCTCAAAGAGATGGAAACAGCCATTACCACTACGGTGAACGCTGATATTAGCAGTTGGAAGAACTGCTGTGCCAAAAAACCCTCATTGACTGAGAGTATTGTTCAGAGGGCTCTTGGAACATTGGTCGACGTGGTTGGCAGCAGGTTATATCTCATCCATCAGTCACTACGGGACTTTCTATTGAGTTGTGATCTCTGGGAGAACAACCGCAAATTAGAAATCCCACAACCAACACTTGCCCTCGGAAAGGTGTGTCTAAAGTTTTTGTCGTTTGAAGACTTCAGCGATGCGACTTGGTGCGAGAATAAGAATGTGGTAATGCAGGAAGAACCATTTATTGGGTATGCCTCGTCATTTTGGTATCAGCACATCGACAATGCCCGCGACGTCGATATTGAAATGTTGGAGGGCTTTCTCCAAGGTCCAAACAAGCAACTCTGGCTGAACTATGACCCAGGGGTTTGGATTGATCCCCACCGCGAACCACTAACAAACGTGCAGTCAATTTCCGAGATTGCAATATATCTGAACATAGCCTGGCTGGTGAGGATGTTACTCGATGGCGTGTCTGATAAGATATCAGACGCCTTTGACAAAGATTGCTTGGTCAAGGCAGCGAATTCTGGTCCAGTGGTCCTCCAGGAGTTATTGAGCCATTCAAAGATAAGCATGATCCGAATTACGGATGATGTAGTGGAAGCGGCAGCAGGAGATCGGGAAAATGGCAAAAGATCAATGGAAATACTGCTAAAGGAACGCGGCAACCAAGTCAAGATTACAGAGGAGGTAGTCAAGGCAGCAGCAGGAAATCGAGAAGGAAAGGGAGTAATGGAACTGTTACTGAAGGAACGCGGGAACGAAGTCGAGATTACAGAGGAGGTACTCAAGATAGCAGCAGTAAATATAGAAGGAAAGGGAGTAATGGAACTGCTACTGAAGGAAGGCGGGAACGAAGTCGAGATTACAGAGGAGGTGGTCAGGGCAGCAGCAAGGTATGGAGGAAAGGAACTGATGGAACTGCTATTAAAGGAACGCGGCAACCAAGTCAAGATTACAGAGGAGGTAGTCAAGTCAGCAGCAGAGAATTGGAGAGGGAAGGGAGTGATGGAACCGCTACTGAAGGAACGCGGCAACGAAGTCGAGATTACAGAGGAGGTACTTAAGGTAGCAGCAAGGTTTGGAAGAAAGGAAGTGATGGAACTGCTATTAAAGGAACGTGGCAACCAAGTCAAGATTACAGAGGAGGTACTCAAGGCAGCCGCAGGGAATTGGAAAGGGGATATAGGAGTGATGGAACTGCTACTGAAGGAACGCGGCAACAAAGTCGAGATTACAGGGGAGGTAGTCAAGGCAGCAACAGGGAATATTAGAGGGAAGGAAGTGATAGAACTGCTACTAAAGGAATGTGGCAACCAATTCAAGATTACAGAGGAGGTAGTCAAAGCAGCAGCAAGGTATGGAGGCAAGGAAGTAATAGAACTGCTACTAAAGGAACGTGGCAACCAATTTAAAATTACAGAGGAGGTACTCAAGGCAGCATCAGGGAATTGGAGAGGGGATATAGGAGTGATGGAACTGCTACTGAAGGAACGTGGCAACGAAGTCGAGATTACAGAGGAGGTACTTAAGGCAGCAGCTATCAATTTGAGACAGGAAAGGGACTAATGGAAATACTCCTAAAGGAAAGCAGCAACCGAGTCGAGATTACGGAGAAGGTGGTCAGGGCAGCAGATTGGAATTTGATGCAGGGAAAGGAAGTGATGGAACTGCTGATAGAACACAGCAATGAAGTCAAGATGTCAGAGGGGGTGAAAGAAGTACTAGAACAGGGGATAAA